TTTGCTTGGTCTCATATAAAATACTTTTTATTTCCAATTTTCTCATTTATGAAATTTAAAGTCGTCTCCATTTGGAGCAAATTAGAACCAAAGTCACAAACTTGGTGAATAAAACTGATTCTGATTTTATAACGACTGGAAAACGTTCACTACAATCCAACAAATGGTGAAATTCAATCAAACACATAAAGTCTGTGACCAGATCATTCATCAGATGTCTCCCATTAAGCAGAGGTGGGAGCATCATACTGCGCAGTGATTGGTCGAACCGTTCTGCAACAGAACTGGATTAGGGCTGCAACTAAACATTATTTTGCAAATAGAATAATCTGTGGTTATTTTTTCAATTAATCGATTAATGATTGGTTCCTTAAAGAAGACTTTTTACAAAATTAAACCAGGTGAAAGTAAAACTTTTCCACTTGAGCAGTTCTGGATAAAGCAGATTGAAGGAAGAAATGTTTTTTGACCTTAAATGCAAAATGTTTAAATATTTTTTTACAATTATGATATAATTTCTGCTCTAAGCGGGTCTCTCTGCGAACTAAAGGCCATTTTACAGTTTCTTTACTCCAGTTAACGATTAATCGATTATTTCAATAATCGTTAAATTAGATTAATTCTTTTAGCCCTAAGTAGGAAAAGATGGATTCTCGTGTGTTTTTCAACGTATCGCGAACATTCAGTCTCCAGGAAGGGAGACCAGTTCAGGTTTAACAGCAGCAGAACGAAAAGCAGAGACGTACGTCTTCTGTTCTCTTGTAAAGCGGTTGGAGCTGCGATGAAAGCGGGAAGGAAGCAACTCTATCGCTGCTTTGACGTTTTTTTTGAAAGCTGACATTTTGAATTGATGGATGGGAAACTGAAGGTCTTCAAACTTGGAAATAAAGTCCAGACAATATTTTTTTTTTACTTTTTGGAACGACTCTGACCTGGATGACTGAGGATCTTCACCAGTTTATTTCTGTGAACACGGAGCACGCTCGCTACTTGTGACGTCATGGCGTCTTCTACTGTGCATGTGGGACACTTAAGCTGTATGAATGTAGTTCACTCAGGACATCGCATATATTAGGAAATGTAAACGGCAACGCAGAAGAATTGGATTTCACAAGAAGATCGGAATTAAACATTAAGGCACGCAGTGTGAACATAGCCTCAGAGCTGCGGGAGGAAGGATCTGTGACGAGGCCCGTTTGTGGACCTAAGATGCAGCACTATTTTTAATCGCCACTTTGAGAACTAATCCAAAATAGCAGCTGTTTCCCCTTTTAGAAATCTATATTTTCTTTACGGTTCATCCAGATATTAGAGCTACTATAATTATTTTAATTACTGAGTGTTTTCTAACGGTTCGATTAAAATGAATTCATCTTTCATCCATTCAGCTTGTCACGGTCAGAGCCCGTACATTTAGAAACAGGATCTTAGACTGAGATCTAATCAGCTGACTGAAATATTGGCCTTTATAACAGAACGGACAGGAGCTCTAAATATTCTCCCTGCAGTTCAGACAATGACGCCATCAGGCTGCAGTAAATATAGAACGCTGACATTTAACCTGGAAAGCATTTCATCAGAACCACTTCCTCAGAAAAGGGCTTTAGAAAAAGTTATTCAGCTGATTCTCAAAACCTGTTTAACAAAAATGATCATTTTCTAACCAGACAGTCGGGAGAGAAATTAAATTCACCTTCCACTGATCAGACCCCTGCTGCTTCCCGTAGATTCAGCCAGTCGCCTCTAAAAACACGGCAGAGCTGGAGAGACCTCAGCAACCACCTCAGAGAAGCAGCTTCATCCTTTAGCAGAGAAAAAGAGTTTTCTGACAACCTTCCCAGTAGGGAGATTCAGCCTAACGTCAGAGCAGGAAGCAGGGGAAAGGTCATGACCCTGAACCAGTCCGGCTGTAGAGAAGGTCAAAGGTCTCTAGAACCAAGATGGCAGCAGGACTTAGGGCTGAGGCTGTGCTGGATTGCAGAGGCGGCGTCCTCCAAGGACTCGGTCTGGCTATGGATTCAAACAGGTCCAGCCTTCTCCCGCTTTCAC